TAAGAACATTTTTTTAAAAATAATTTTGTTCAGAAGTTCGGAGAAACTGGTAAGACAATTAGTGGTTAGCTTGAATTTACCATGGCTTTCAATGGCAATCAGAATCAGTCATATCCTGAGTTGTCATGGTTATGGTATGGCAGCTGCAAGCCTGGTGAAGAATTATTTATGGAACTTAATATAAATGTACTGTTGATGAATTGGACAATAATGTTCTGGCTTAGAAGGTGGAAATCATTTTTTTTAAAAGATGGATATATATGATATGTAAAATTATGTTAAAATGAAAAAATATATTAGTATCACGTTTTATACCGTTGATCAATTTAAAATGGATTCAATTATTTTGATTTGATTGTAGTTTCTGGTAAATAATTAATCATTACCGGTATGTAAATAGATGTTGACAAATAGATGTTGACGTGGCCCTTGATAAACATTCACATGCCAGTTGTTTCATTAAACTTCCTTCTATACTCCCCCTCCCCATTTTCTTGTATGAAAACAAAGGCAGCATTGTTTTGAGTTATTTAATTTTATATTTTCAGTTTTATATATATTATACATATATTTGTACAATAATGTTAAAAAAAAAGTTTATATAATCCAATTGTTGTCTCAACAAATGTGATATTGTTTGTATGTTGCTTTTTTTAATGAAGAACTTTGCTTTATAGAATAACAAAATAATTAAAGACCAGTGCTATAAGGGGTTAAATATTATTCGGGTCTTACGTAGTTTTTAGTTCTACACCTCGTAGTCCATGATAGGTTAAAGGTTGGTCAGGGTCCCGTAAGTTTTAAGAGCCTGAAATATTTATAACCGCAAGATGAAGAAATCATCACATCTTAATTTCCATATTGAGCCAAAGACATGTTACAGAGGCAGTAGAGTTCATCTGTTTCAATGACCTTGTGTAATCAGGTACCCAATTGAGCTGGGTGGACTCAGATGTCCTACAAACTTGAACCCTGGATCTGAACTTGAGACTTTCAGGTCATCAACCACGTCATCCCTTCAAGATGGAAATATTTGTTTGATACACTATTTACAGGGGTCTTTGATAATCTTTAGCTAGGGTTTCTTAAGCGTGTTCACATATCTAAGGATCTGATATGTATGTACACATATCTAAGGGTCTGATATGTATGTACACATATCTACAAGTGTGTTTCAACTATCTAACAAATAATGTTTTAAATATCTTTTCATTAAGTCATCACTTTTGAACAGATTTTTACAAGAAGTTTTATAAAAAATAAGTGTTTTCGTTTTTTATTTTGCTTTCAAATAATTTTGAGCTATTTCTAAAAAAGTAAAGTTCGCTGTCCCAGTTTTTTTTTAGTGTATATCTAGTCAGAATAAAACATTCTTTAATAAATAGTATGTGTTATCTTGAACTGTCTTTCATATAAAATCACATTTCTTATAAGGCTAAATGTATTACTATATTGAATGTGATATTTTTTTGGGCCATTTTTTGTCTTGAAAATATAGACGTAAGTGACGTCTAAATATTCTACACTTTTTAAAAGTAAAATAAAAAGTAATACTTTTTTCAAGTTTCTGATACTGTTGGAGTCTTGATGGTGATTGTTATAATATATTATATAATCTCTAATTGTTGTTAATACTTGTTATACATTGTTGATAGCTCATATTTCTTGACATTTGTACAACAATGATAGACTATTCACACAATATTGTTGACTGTTTACCATTGAAATATTTAGTTGTGAGTAAAATAAATTTGAAAATAAATATGTTTTGCATTTGAAGTTATTTAATGTTTATACCATTTGTGTTGAAAGTGTAGGCCTAAATGTCACACTTGTAAGTAGCCAGAACAATTAAAACTTTTCTGGCCGGGCTTCTCATACACAGAGATCAAATTGCAAACAGGGTGGTTTCTGCTTAAGTAACAGCAGCATTCAACAGAGACGAACTGTGGAGTTGTTTACTTTTTTTATAACCGAGCAGCTGTCAGAATGAGATGTACGATCTACATGTGTGTTAGATATAAGAAGATTTTTATTCTAGAATTACCTGGTGTGGTGATCGAGATAACACCTGTTGTGGTCATCCACAAAACACCTGGTGTGGTCATCCAAAAACACCTGGTGTGGTCATCAACATAACACGTGGTGTGGATATCAACATAACACCTGGTGTGGTCATCAATATAACACTTGATGTGGTCATCAACATAACACCTGGTGTGGTCATCAATATATCACCTGTTGTGGTCATCAACATAACACCTGGTGTGGTCATCAACATAACACCTGGTCTGGTCATCAACATAACACCTGGTGTGGTCATCAACATAACACCTGGTGTGGTCATCAACATAACACCTGGTGCGGTCATCAACATAACATCTGGTATGGACATCAACATAACACCTGGTGTGGTCATAACACCTGGCGTGGTCATCAACATAACACCTGGTGTGGTCATCAACATAACACCTGGCGTGGTCATCAACATAACACCTGGTGTGGTCATCAACATAACACCTAGTGTGGTCATCAACACCTGGCGTGGTCATCAACATAACACCTGGTGTGGTCATCAACATAACACCTAGTGTGGTCATCAACACCTAGTGTGGGCATCAACATAACACCTGGTGTGGTCATAACACCTGGCGTGGTCATCAACATAACACCTGGTGTGGTCATCAACATAACACCTGGTGTGGCCATCAACATAACACCTGGTGTGGTCATCAACATAACACCTGGTGTGGTCATTAACATTACACCTGGTGTGGGCATCAACATAACACCTGGTGTGGTCATCAACATAACACCTGGTGTGGTCATCAACATAACACCTGGTGTGATCATCAACATAACACCTGGTGTGGTCATCAACATAACACCTGGTGTGGGCATCAACATAACACCTGGTTTGGTTATCAAAGACAGCCTAGCACAGAGCCTAACAGTCGAAAAGGGGGGGGGGGGGGGCGTAACGAGGGGTGCAGTAGAATAATTATTATTACTTAATTGTGTGTTGTTTTGAAATACGGCTACGACGTAGAATGGGGTAAACAAGCACTGCCCTTCCTTCACTGGAAAAAAATGAAATTTTAAAAAAGATTTTTATATATACTTTTACTGGTGTTCCCCCCCCCCCCCCCCCTACACACACCCAGAGAAAAATGACCGAGAGAAATCTTATTCTCGCGTCATCCGGTGCGGTCTGCGTCAACCCCCCCCCCCCCCCCCCCCCCCTCCCCCGCTGTTTTAGTTTCAGAATTAAAATGTATATGAGGCCTCCCAGAGCGCAGATGTGACTTTAAAAAAATGTGTCACGGGCCGCCATGCCACATTTTAAAGACACATAGGTTTTAATCACGCCAAGAAAGCTGACAATGTAAACCAACTGACTGGCGGACGTGACTTTAGTGGCCAGACAAATATAAAAAAAGTATCGCCAAAAAATATTTTCATGTCTAGCTCTAATTGCATTATTTTGTTTGTTTTGAGCGAAAAAAAAAAAAAATCTTAAGCCTCATGCCTTTCTAGTTTACATGGAGTTTTATGTAACAATGAGTTATTAAGTGCATTTTGAAAATGAATACCTTTTTTTTTGTAACAAATAAACATAAAGTTTTAAAAGACATTTGAAAAAGAACATGTTTTTTTATGTTTTCAAAAATAAGTTATGTAAGATTTTTTTAAAACGAAAGATAAAACAAAAGATGTTTAACCATTTATCTAGACTTACATAATAACCCTGTTGTCGTAAAGACGTAAAGCATAGTGACATACTCAATTAGCAGGTATTAGAAGGTTTCGTTTAGTTTGGGATTTAATTTCGTGTTACGAGTGTTGGTGCTATGGCTCTATGCATTATACGTAGCTATAGCCGTTAAAAATTATATATAGATATAATATTATGTATGAAAAAATATATATGAGAGAATCTCATATATATATATATATATATATATATATATATATATATATATATATATATATATGTTACAAAACAACCCACTTTGTTTTTACCACTTTTATGTCAGTAAGTTGTTATTAAATTCTCCAGGAAGAGTACAAAGAAGCGAGGACAAAGTTAGTGTATTTCTGTCAGCAACTAACCTTTAATCAAAGACCTTGTGCTCCGGGGTGTGTATGTGTATGTGGGGGTGGGATAGTGGGAGGTGACATTTACAATTTTTAGGGTGTAGGGCAGTGGACGTTTTTCGAGGGCACTGCCGCCCACCCCCAGAAACATGTCTGAATGAAACCCCGCTGTAAACTTACATCAGACATGTTTTTTTCTCGTACGTTAGGGAATGTTTCGATAAGAAATCTTAAAAGACAAAAGTAAAGTAGTGTTAATGTGAAGGGGGACTGAGAGTGTCAGGAATTACATTAAGATACACCCAGCACCCGCTGGAAATCTTGATCTATGTCGCTTTTCTAGTGCCACACTGTTCCGACTCCACTTTTCAAAAATGTTGATATATAGGCTATGAAGTTTTGTTTTCTCTCCTATATTAAGCTCTTGACGAAATGAAATTTAAGCGGTGTGTAATAATAGTGAGAGATAATTCCATGTCACTTTTTTGCCATGATTCATTGATGGATTTAGAACACAACGGTGTATAAATCTTGAAAGAAATGGAATTAAAACAGTCTGGTTCTAGGGAAGCGATATATATATATATATATATATATATATATATATATATCTATATATATATATATATATATATATATATACTTTATAGCCCACCAAGGGCGCTAGAATGGGTAGGTGCGCATTTCCTATGTGGCACCTATGACGGTGGCTCGCCAAAGACAGAGTGGAATGGCGGAGATTTGTTGTTGCCCTATACTCCACAGGGAGTGATGAGAATCACTAGAAGGGATCGCTGTTCCTTTGTGGACCTATTACTGCAATTGGCTTATAATCAATTGCCGACTCTTTGGAATTCTCCGGCATTGATAAAAACACAACGAAAATAAACATAATTGCTTGTTTTATTTACATGATAATACAGATATTGGTTTTTCTGTTTGTAAAAGCTGATGTGGTCGTTTTATAACAGTTTTTCTAGGTAAGTGTAATATCACAACGCAAGTTATATTGGCGTGTTTACATATACAAAAGTTCATCAAAACGATTTGCGGTGTGTGTGTGTGCATATTGTAAGGAATCAGTTAATTATGTCGTGTCATACATTGTAAACTAAGTCCGTTAATCTTTTTAAAAATTCTCTGGTATTGAATACAACGATCATTCGATTATATCCGTAAAGGAAGTTCAAACAATACTGATCAACATAGATCCATACATAGTTTAGCAAACCAATTAAAAGTGCTTGGGTACAGTGTTCCTTTCATACTGGTTGAAGTGTATGTTTTCTATATAAATTCCTATTTCGTTGAGGGGGGGGGGGGTAGCACAACAATGCAAGACAGTTTATTATTGCGCATTTATACATTATACACACACACACATAATATGTATGTGCATATGTATATTTAGGAATATGGGAATATGCATGTTCTTGAGCACCCCAAGTCTAACAAACATTTAGAAAAAAAAATTGAAATTAAATAAAACAATTAAAAGTGATCTGAATAGGTATATATATATATATATATATATATATATATATATATATATATATATATATATATATATATATATATATATATATATAATATTTATATGTATATTCAAATTACATAATCACAAAGCTATGGATAACAATTAACATTAGTTTACTCAACAATCGTTATGACGCAAACAAAACATGAGCTCCCATACAAGAACCATAACCCTGCGTGTGCTCATAATCTCAATTAATCTTGTAATTTAATACATGCATCATGGCTAATTATTTAATAACTTGATATACTCATTTTAATATTAAAACATTTTGAATGTTTTAAGTAGTTTCACCAAAACAGTGATATGTGTTGAGCATAATATGTTCCGTAAGTTAATTAAAAAATTGTTTGCAATAAAAAAAAACGATAGTCGATGATTATTAAATATTTCAATTACTTAGACATATGATTAATTCATCATAATGGTCACTTCGTTTTCTCTATAACTAATTCATCAAATCCGGTCTCTTGGTCTAAAGGTCGTGAGAACGCCACCCCGGCGGTGTTGCCGATCATCACTTCCGCTGTGGTGTAGACGATGAGGTCACCGATGACGTGACCCCCGATGACCTCCCCGTGCTCATCGCTCAAGGAAATGTGGAGGTGACCCCGCTCACCGCCCGAGAGAGTTCCGACAAGGGAGACGATTTCATAGTGACCTTCGAAATAGCGGATCTGAAAAAGAAATTTAACGTTCAATACATGTTTTATTTTAATAACAATGCATTTGATATAGTAGTTCTACAGGGCAAGAGAAATATGTATAAACGAATTTTTTGATTTGTAATAAATAAAAATGTATTTCAATAGCGGATCTTTAGGTCAAAGAAATACGGAAACAATAAAAATAATAATTCAAGAATACATTTTGAGGACCGAGTAGTAGCGTTACTAGGTCAGGTGATACTCAGGGTGCCACCCCTTCCGCCAACGACTACAGGTATCGTATAGTTAATTTATTAAGTTATAGGCAATTTAGTGTCAACCCTACCCAGTCTTCTTCTTCTTCGTTCTTAATTATTAGCGTTGAAGGGGATCGAGATTTATCTGCCAGTGGGTTTGAACTCGCGACTTTGTTCAAATGTATCAACCATGAGCTTTTTGCCGACTCGACCACGCCTCCAACACAATTAAGCGGTACGTGTCAACTGGTTATGCGCCATTGACTCCTATTTCAGCCTGCTTTTCTTTTTGGATTTGCTTCCATAGCCGTTGTCCAACCAAGAACAAACTACAAGGCAGCAGTTGTTTGATTTTGGAGTTGTCTCTCCTAGAAGAGTGGCTGTCCCCAGCTAACGAGCCTCATCTGCCCGAGGGTTCGAACTCGAGACTTTTCGGTTTAGCAACCATGAGCTTTACCGACTCGACCACGCCGACCCTTCCTACCCCAGTAGTGTTACCCCCATCACGTGACCGCGTTGCTATGTAAAAGAAATAAAGCCATATGTAGCACTTGGATACAGTCAGTACACTTCTGACTGAGTGAGCGATTAAATAGTGAACGGGGCAGGTGAAGTAGAGCTCACCTGTTTCTATCACGTAGGCATTTGAAGGAGTAGTGTGGTCAGCACTAGGCCCAGCCGCCTTTGCTTTACCCAACGTAGGTTAGGTACTCATCAGAGCTGGGTGGACTCAGGGACGTGCCACGGCTTTAACTAGGGACCCGAACTCAAGACTTTCGGGTTAGCTGACGGATGCTCTACCATTCGGCCTCATCGCCATATAAAGGCCTATGCAGCACTTGGACACAGTCAGTGTGCGAGTTATAAAATGTGTAATCTGAAACGAGTTCCAATTCGGTCCAAGGAGCAGGTGAAGTAGAGCTCATCTGCTTCTAACACGTCGACATATGAAGGGATAGAGTGGTCACCATTATGCCCAGCCGTCTTTACTTTCCCTCAGGTCAGGTACCCATCAGAGCTCTAGCCAGAGACCCGAACTCGAGACTTTCGAGTTGGCAGACGGGTGCTCTACTATTCGACCACGTTGCTATATAAAGCCCTATGTAGCACTTGAATACAAGTCCGTTCCTGACTGACTGAGCTATAGGATAGCAGAAAGCCCTATGTAGATAGCGTTGGGATAGCAGAAAGCCCTATGTAGATAGCGTTGGGATAGCAGAAAGCCCTATGCAGATAGCGTTGGGATAGCAGAGAGCCCTACGCAGCAAACGCTATTCGCAGCATCACCGTACCAACTCTCCAGCGGCCATCCGAAGCTGTGCCTTGGTCACGCTGCCCACGCAGGACAAGACGAAGGCAGACGTGAGGTTGTTGGCGCGAACAAACTCCAGCAGGGTGCCTGTGATCTCCTGCCCAGGGTGGAGCCGCAGGGGGTAGCACTGGAGTGGACCGGAAATAACGGAGTTCTCCTGGAAGTAAAAGAAAAAAAAAATTAATTAGGCGACCAATTAAGTCAAATTTAATGTCACGATGCATTGTCTTCATGTCTTGACCAACGTACCAATTACGAACCGTATCTGTCAGTTAGAAGTGCCTGCAATTTCGCTCGGCCGTTTCGATCTAGACAGACTGACGACAGACAGAGGAAGTGAGTTAAATAAAAGCTTGTAAAAAAGTATTGCCATTTAGAATGACAACTTGGATGCTCTTAGAAATTAATACATATTTTTTAAAATAAATCTTCTGATGATATGGATACAAGACTAAAATTATTGAAGGAGATTTACTCTGCCAGAGAATTTTCTAAATGTTGTTTCTATATACAAAAATGATATTAATTAAAAATAAATCCCATACACACTGATTGGTAATTAAGATTTATTTATATTTAAATGCAAGAGTTAAAAAAACCCGCGAATAAGCCATTAAACTTTTGGACTCTTGCGCGTAAACGGAGATACATCTTGATTATCATCTAAATTAAAACATTTACATAATGATGATGATTTGTTTTTTAGTCGTTACATTCTTTGTTTTATCTTTAAAGTTACTTTTAAAAGAAGATATAATTTGTGTAGTCGCTGTTGATTTCATGTCGCATGCTACACCGTTTTTTTTTTGGTACTGTAAGCAGTGTTTGTTGTATAACGTGTTTGTTGTACCCATTATTTGTTGTACCCACTGTTTGTTGTACCCAGTGTGTGAACCCAATGAAGGTCTCGAGTTCGGATCTCGGTTCCGATTCAAGACTGCAGGATGTTCCTAATTCCACCCAGCTCTGATGGGTACCTGCCCTACGGAAAATACAAGCGGCTGTGCATGGTGCTGACCACGTCATTTATTTATTTTATTTATTTATTCAATTACGGTAACAATAGTAGGCACGGAGGCCTTTTTTCACATTGGCCGTTTTAAAATAAACAAATAAAAACAACAATTTAATAACAGCATTTAAAAAAGAAATAGCATAGTAACGACATAGCAGTAACATATATGCCGAGATCAAGAAACACGTGGACTATGCTTCACCTGTCATATGGATCGTTAAGGTCAGAAATGGAACTTAACTTCAACTTAAAACATCTATTTCACAAACCTCGCACTAATGTGGTAACGTGGGCGTTCAACACACGTGACGTAAACACACGCTTACCCAATGTGGGTTAAACATAAGAAATACATTTGTCAACAAACTACGCAAGACAGAAAAAGCAGAATTTCTGAAATTTCACACGTAGGATTTTTTTACATGGTGTCGTCAACTATTTTTTAATATCTGAATATCTTGGGGGTGGGGGGGGGGGGGGGGAGGGAGGTAGGCGGGTTTAAAATGACAAGCCTAAGTATGCATCTACGGGCTACAAGGTAAAACTAGATCATGTCTCTATTTTAAACTTAGTTTTACCAACGTGACTTAGAAATTTAATCTGTTACGATGTGTAGACATAAATAAAAGTTAGAAAAAAATATTGGAGGTCGGCGTGGTCGGGTCGGTAAAGTAGATGAGTCTTGTAAGCTGGGGACAGCAACCCTTCTAGGAAAGAAAAACTCCGAAATCCAACAACTGCTGCCTTGTAGTTTGTTCTTGGTTGGAGAAAGGCTATGGAAACAAATCTAAAAAGAAAAGCAGACTGAGATCGGAGTCAGCGGCCTATACGGTGCATAACAGGTTGACACGTAATATTTACTTAAGTAGGAAGAAATCGCTTCCGAAATTACATTTATGAACAAAGAAGAAAAAGAAAAGAAAAACTATATGTGTACTCGCAGTGGGGCTATCGACACCGTCTGGTATCACGTGATGTGGAACGGCGTGGTCTAGCGGTGGTCCAAGTCATGAGTTCGGAACCCGGACCCGGGCTGGAGACCTAGGTCATCCCTGGACCGACCTTGTCTTTTTGTCTGGTAACGTGGGTGCCAGAACCACTGGACATGGTCCAGTGGTTCTGGCTAAAGAACCTTGCTTGGGTCGGTTGTTGACGTGTACAGGAAAGTATACGATGATAGGAAGCGCGGTTTCAATTTTAATATTATTTACTTATGATTTTTCGAACAGTTGAATAAACTGGAGTGATACCTGTTTCAAATTTCTGCAAACGGGACAGATTTTAAAAATAAAGCGGAGTGGGGTTTCAACCATCTACAGCTACAAGTAGGCTACTACATTGGGAGGCGGTGTATTGTTTTTAGTTATTTTTCTTCTATTGTCACAGTTGTCTGTATTCACGATGGACGCGTGCAAGTATTTACAATTTTGAATTACAACGGTCCATTGGACACACAGGAAGGTGAATTCCATTTACAGTTCGTTATGAACATGCAGATATGACTTAATTTTTTTTAGTTAAGTTAAAACTGAGTTAAAGTTGTTATGGAGAAGAGCACTGACAAAAATGGTTTAATTACAGATATACGTGTGAAGGTCACAGACTAGGGGAGGTCCATACCGTCCACCCCCTCAAGTATGTATGTGTATATATATATATATATATATATATATATATATATATATATATATATATATATATATATATATATATATATATATATATATATATATATGCATATATATATATATATATATATATATATATATATATATATATATATATATATATATATATATATACATATATATATAAATATATATATAAACATACATACATACATATATATATATATATAAATACATACATGCATATATATATATATATATATATATATATATATATATATATATATATATATATATATATATATATATATATATATAGGTATTTATATATATATATGTGTGGGATGGGTGTGTAAGAGTATGTAATTTGATAGGCGAGTATATAATAAATCTTTATATTTATTAAAATATACAAGTGAACATAACAAGCATAGTTTACATTCCAACGCAAGTAACCAGTTGCTAGTAAACACCCACGAGATTAGAGTATAATTGGTCCCTTTATCAAGGCAAGCCCTGTCTTTTAGTACATCTACCATACATCCCTAACTAATAGCACTGTTGTTATAGTCGTAATTCGTACGATGAATTATTACATTGGTTCATTGTTAGGACTAGTAATTCTATTTAGTTTATATAATATATACTAACCAGTTGCCTTATTTATTATTTATAATAAATATAACATTTATATAGTGGTGTAAGGTGGTTTATGTATTCATTAGTATACTATCTAAACCACAATAAAAATATGTTCAAATAAAACAATTTCACCAAGTTTTTGAGTAAACACTGATTCGAATATTTCGTGATTAAAGCTCAAATTAAAACGAAACAAATACTAACCGTGTTTTTAACGTCTGGTTCACACATGGCTGTTCATCTGTCTGCTACGTGACCTAATTTCTGAGACCGGGTGAATAAAAATGAACCGACACCGTACGGTGCGTAACGTTTACCGTGGAATGTGATTTACACAAGTGGAACACACTATCGCAGAGTACGTGTGATGAACGCCCTCGTTTTTGGTCCGGATTGATACTACTACGCGTATAACTGTGTTGTCATATAGATCTAGTCTAGATATTAACACAGTTATACATTTAAAGTGGTATCTTGTGTGAATTTATAGCGGTTTAAATTGCAATACTTTTTTACACTTCAGTTTTGGCGATCGGTTTTCAATGGTTCTAAATTTTTTTTTTAAAAAAGGCGTTTTAGGTATAAATTTAATTTTAGAGGATAACACGCATATTATGTAATACAAATTTTTATATTTTGTGACCCCACCGCATTGGAGTTTTATATGACATTTCCAGTTCACCAAATTATGTAACATTTCACCCACACCTTCCACATAACACGACATAATTTGGCACAACATCCAATACACGTTTTGTGCTTTGGGCCCCGAGATATACGTGTTTGGTATCCACTGCAGTGGCGTAGTAGGGTGGTGGTGGGGGGGGAGGCGGGGGGGGGGGGGGTGCGGATCTCACCGGGTGACACCATTTAGGGGGGTGACACCAAGGCAAAAAATAGCAAAATATATAGAGAAAAATGATAATTCCACTTAATTGATTAATTCGAGTTTTAAATAGTCTTTTAAGAGCAAATTTTACAAACCCCGACAAGGGTGGAGGGGGGGGGGGGGGGGTGCAAATCGAAAGTTTGAGGGGGGTGCAAATCGAGAGTTTGAGTGGGGGATTCAATTCGAAAATTGAAAGTTTGTCCCCGGGTGCCAGGAAGGGTATCTACGCCTCTGGAGGTGACACCATTAAATGCCGCACCGGGTGACACCCGACCTCGCTACGCCACTGATGCACTGTTCTATGATTAGCCAATCAGAGTTTCTTTCAGGCGTCCCCTGCCTGCGTCGCCCCCCCCCCCCCCCCCCCGGAAGAAAGTTTACCGCCCCCTCAAACGAAATATAAAAAAAACCTGATATTTATCTAGAAAATACATACTTTGATCAATTCGCCACCCCCCTCCCACGGAAATTTGTGTGCCCCACCCTCGAGTTAAATGTTTGAAAGAAACACTGTAATATAGGTATTTTGTTTCTTAAGTATACATGTTTCTGAATAATTGTTCAAAGTTTTATTACTATCTGTGGTAAAAGTATTATGATCCTTTGTGTAAATATTTAGGAATCCCTGTTCTAAGTTTAGTTACTTCCATGTAGTGAAAGTGTTTGGTCTGAGAATCACTGTTCTAATTTAGTTACTTCTCTGAAGTGTAAGACTTTGGTTTGAGAATCACTGTTATAAGCTTAGTTCCCAGTAGTACAGGCTTTTCGGTCCTTTTTTTATCAACTGGCGGAGGACCACTGCTCTGATTCATTTGGTCCTTTTGTATGCAATGTTTGGGAACCAATTACTACGATAATCTCCATAATCTAAGCGTGAAATTGTAAATGTAAGGATCCAAATGCAATCTAAGCATGCATTGATACTGGTGTGTGTGTGTGTGTGTGTGTGTTTGTGTGTGTATGTGAAATGCTGACACCTGATTTTTAAGCTAGTGGTTCTCCTGCGTTTTCTCACTCATCCCCCCCTTCCCTCCCTAGAATGGTTGACTGAAATTTGAATATTGAGTTTTACAGTCACGTGTCTGTAGGAGGACACCCCCCCCCCCCCACCCAACCTCCCCTCCCCGTGTGAGACTCATGCGAAACTAACAAATATCCGAATAATATCAGTTGTGTTGGCTGTACGTCAAATGTAACTCAGAGATTTCACAACAACAACAAACAAATAATTCAGAACCACGCTTAATAAATATTGCATGCTATAAATGTTTTTTTTTTTATTTTTTTTATTACTTTTGACTTTAACTCAGTTATAAATTGCAATGTGACTTGGCAATCTTAAGTCAGCACGAGTGACTGTGGTTAAGTCAGGAAGTATGTTGTTCTTGACTCCTCTCAAATTTGGGTTCCACACCCAGGACAGATGAGGTCCGTCAGCTGAGGACAGCAACCCATCTAGGAGAGAATACCTCGAATTCAAACAACTGCTGCCTTGTAGATTGTTCCTGGGTGGATAAAACCTTAAAGACTATGGAAGCAAATCCATAAAGATAAGCGGACAGAAATCGGCGTCAATGGCGCATGTTGACACTTTAAACTTATTTGTCTTGAAGGAAATCCCGTCCAACATTACAATAAAGAACGAAAAAAATAATAATTGCCGATTGTTTTTGAGTGGATAAATGCCACGGAAGAAAATCCAGAACATTAAGAAACTGAATCCAGAGATCACAGACCATTTGGCACATATCATGTTGACACGCAATTCTTTCTTATGTTGGAAGAAAACGCCAATGTTAGACTTGCTGTTTTGTTTATTGGTTGTTTGATACCCACCGATGCTATGAATAAAAAAAAAAACGAACTAGAAATTATTCACGTTCAGGTTTTTTTTTCGTCCATCTCCCAGTTCATTGAGCCCCCCCCCCTCCCTACCAGACAAAACAGAACGATTTTGATTTAAATATTTTAATAACAGAAATACATCCTTCAACCACTCCCCCCCTCTCCTCCGGAGAAAAATGTCTGAAAGAGACACTGTTCAGGGCACATACAATGGAAGAAATTCTTCAACATCTCTATGTGCAAAATAAAATCCGACTAAGCTATTTGTATTAATTATACAGGTTACTAGATCTACTTGTTTCAAAAAATAGTAAAATAGATTGCTAAACTCCGATAAGTTTATGTAAAAAATGTAATAATAAAATCATATTTATAACAAAGTGGAACTTATGGTTCAGTGGTTTATTTTAAGCTAGATGGCTGCATGACCCCATATCAATGTACCAGTTAGATACCTATCCTCACCCCCAACCCTCTTCGAGGGTTTCTTTCATACATTTTTCTCTGGGGTAACTCGACACTTTTCCGTGTCTCACTTAAAACAATAAAAAATTAACGGGGAGGGGGGGGGGATTACACTGGTTAAAATAATTTCCGTACAAGAACAGTTTCTATTTCGTCCCGGAGTTGCGGGGCGGGCGGTAGACTTACTCTAGGGGAGGGGGGGGGGTCACTGTACCCTTGTGGAGATGCCTGAAAGAAACTCTACCCTCGCCTCGTACACTGATCCTAAGCATCAAACGCCTACGTAATAGGACCCCCCCCCCCCCCCACCCACACTCCACAAACCCCATCCCAAACACCACCAGCCACATCAAAACGTGGGGATTACATCTACATCGCCTGTCCCTGTCATTCCCCTGACGCTACAGCAATTAATTGTTGATTTCGGTGGCTAGGAAATCCCAGTACCAGGCCGAATGACGCAGGACCGATAAGCGGGTTAATATTACAGCGTCATCGCCTTCGATTAACTCCCCTGGTCTGTGTATTATATTATAAAGGGAGAGAATAAAATAAAAAATATAACCCAACGCATGCCCCGAGCGAGCGTCGATGTAATTATTTAATTTTTCCCCATGTTAACAATGGTTCTATTTTTAGGCGCGGTAATGATAACGGAATAACGGCAGGTTAGGAATGAATCAATACAACAGTCGTAAAAAAATATGGAGGAGTAAAAAAAAAACAACATATTATTGATTTATCTTTAAAAACATTGCTTGGTATGGGTGTATAAATCATTAAAAAAAAAACAACCTGTTTTTTTTCACACTGCAATGTGGTAAGTGGTATGTAGGAGAAGGATTGTCGGATTGAGGAAGTACTTGGTATGTACATTCAGGATACATAACCACGTCGACACAACGTATTCGATACTGTTATGACTGTATCGATACTCTAACCGTAACCATAACTCAGCCTTAACCATACAAACAACCATAGTCCTAATACCAGCGAGAGGAAGGTAAAATATGCTCAAATCGATACTCTCTTGTTTTTTTTAAATATTAAAACCACATTATTAAATTGGGGTAAGAAAGGGGGGGGGGTGGCTACATCACGTGGACGTGACAGGGAGGCGTGGTTTGGTTTAGTGACACCCGTGCACATTTGTTGCATTCGGTCCACAACTGTATCATGTTAGCGTTTTAAAGAATGAATTCAGATGACAGCACAGGAATGGCGCTTAACTGGAAGCCTGTAGCAGACTTTCTTCCAGAGTATCTCTCCCCCCCCCCCCCAACGAGATGTATATTAAATAGAAATCATATACTTTTACCAGTGTCCGCCCCCCCCCCCCCCGAAAAATGTAGTCCCGACCCCCGAAAATATCAAGTCCCCCCCCACCCCCCCTCGAGAAAAATGTCTGGAAGAATAACTGTCCACTAGGAAATGGAAGCAGGGAAGGCCATGGCAGAAGTGGAGGCAGACGGCAGACAAAACCAGCCGACAAAGGCAGGACTGTCTTAGGGCAGGGGTCGGCAACCTGCGGCTCTTTTAATGTCACAATGCGGCTCTTCAGTTCCATAATAATTTTTTTTTTTTCAAAACTCAAAAAAATATTATACTGTAAAATTAAAAACAACTTTAAACAAAAACAAGAAACAACGAGAACAGGCGGAGTATTAAGCTGGGCATTAAGCCGCTGGGCATTAAGCCCTGCCCCACAAATGTGCTAAGGACCAGCCCACGTGGCAATTGTTGCATGTTTTCCACTACCGAAGTGCATACACATGTCAGTGGCTCTTTAAAAAAATTGGGACATTTTTTAGATTATAACTTTTGGGTCTTCGGTCTCAAAAGGTTGCCGACCCCTGTCTTAGGGGACTGTAAAAATTACGCCGGCAGACAAAAAATATATTTTTTTTAATGCAAATTCCCCCACCCCACCACCTGAAAATATATACTTTTACCCATGATACCCCCCCCCCCCCCCAGAGGCGCAGCGACCCTTCCCGGCACCCGGGGACAAACTTTCGATTTGCACCCCCCCTCAAACTTTCGATTTGCACCCCCCTCAAACTTTCAATTACTTTTTCCAACCCATTTTGGCGCCCCCTAAAGGTCGGCGCCCGGGGACAAATGCCCCCCACCTGCCCCCCATCGCTACGTCTCCCCCCCC